AAAAAAATTTTTTTTTTTTTTTTAAATTCCAGTTCTTGGCAGACTGATACTTTTACAGTAAGAAGGAATTACTGGAAAAATAAAATTAAGAAGGCAAAGATGTAAAAATCAAGTCCACTGGTCACATGCTTAGATGTTGGGACGATGCTATAAAAATGTCAGTGCTGTCTCTCGATTCCTGTCCTCAGCTCATTGTGGAGCAGCCGCAGTGTCTGGCTGGCAGTGCCCACAGGGCACACTCTGAGTGGCACTGCCGTTGAGGCCCCGCAGAACTGGCTTTGCTACACCCTTTGTCCGTAGTAATAATATCAGCCTACAGCAATATGCCTGGATACTTGGTATGGTAGAGAAAAAAATGGAAGGTGTATTAGTCTGGGTTCTCTAGAGAAACATAACCAATAGGATGGCTGTGAATACAGATGGTTTATTATAAGGAATTGGCTGACATGGCTGTGGAGGCCGAGAAGTCTCACAGCCTGCAGATGCAAGCTGGGACCCAGGAGAAACGAGGGCGTAAGCTCCAGTCCGAGTCTCAGCCCGGATCCGAAGGCAGACGACCAGTGCCCAGCTGCGCAGTCAGGCAGAGAGAGCGAATCCTCCCTTCCTCGGCCTCCTGCAGATGGCTGAGGCTCACCCAGGTCCGGGAGGGCAGCCTGCTTCTCTGGGTCTGCAATTCAGATGAAAACCTCATCCACAAACACCCTCACAGACACACCCAGAACGCTGTTCAACCAAATATCCGGGCGCCCCATGGCCCAGTCAAGCTGACACATAAAATTAACCGTCACAGAAGGGCACTGTCTCATGTCAGTGTGAATGGGGCTCTCTGGTTTATTACTCTGCCAAGAAAGGTACCAGTTCCTTGACCCTAAAAACAGGAACCACCCCTTTGATTTTTAACCTCCTGACACCTTGTCCATTATGTGACCGTAGAGTCAGGCTCCCTGGTACCCAGAATATAGACTCCTTCTCAGCTCCTGTGCTATCTATCTATGTACCCCTCCTCCTGATGCAGCCAACTGCTTGCTGACACCCCTCACCGCTCACCAGGACCCCTGGAACTACCCAGCCACGCACACACCTGATCCCTCAGAACTAAGGTGCCAAATGCCAGCCAGCTTCTCTCTGAAGCTCACCCCTGCCACGTCCTCACCGACGTCCCTCATAACCCAGAGTGTTTTATCTTCAATCTAATGTATCTGTGACCTCCTCTCTTCCTAGCATCCTGTTCCATATAATCCTTAGCAAGTCATTCCTGATATTTATTGAGAATGTGCCTGGTGCTAAGTCCAGTGTTTTCCCTACCTTATTTTATATTTACAAAAATACTGTTCAGTATGTATCAAAACCCTCGTTTACAGAGGAGGGAACTGAGGCTGACAGAAGATACGTCACTTACATGGCTGTTAAGGGTAGAGTTAGGATCTAAATCTAACACTGTTTTTTCCTCAAATCCTAATTCTTTTTTTTTTTTTTATCCTCACCCAAGGACATTTTTCCATTTATCTTTAGATAGAGCGGGAGGGAAAGAGGGAGGGAGAGAGAGAGACACATCGACTGGTTGCCACCCACACGACCCCAACCAAGGCTGGGGACAAACTGCAACCAAGGTACATGCCCTTAGTGGGAACCGAACCTGGGACTCTTTGGTCTGTGGGCCGACGCTCTAACTGCTGAGCCAAACTGGCCAGGGTTAAATACTGATTTTTAAGCATGAAATCATACTGCCTTATAAAAGAAAAAGAGAAATTATTCACACAATAAACAGTTAAATAATATTTCTCCATGTGCAAAATTACCGTTGGAAATATTTACATGTATTTTTTGTTCATTGCCCCCCATCGAAGGATCCGTCTGCAAGTTTTAGTTCAGGACCCTGTTTATCTCGGCCGGTGAACTTACATGTTTTCCTTCCTTCGTCAAAGAGAAAATCTTCCTTGGGTTTCCCCAGGTGGCTTGGAGAGAAATTTAGTCTTTAATTACAGCAGCTGTTTTTAGCTTACTTGGGATAATGTTCTTCCCTTTTTTGAACATGATTATTTATCTGCATGGATGGTTCAATGCCACATGTTTTCTTTCCTGCTAGACACTGAGCGTTTGCGGGGCACAGACTGAAGGAGCTGACGACGTACCGAATTTTGTAAGCCCCTTTTTGCAGAAGCAAAGGATGTTGACATATCAAATGGGATTCCGTTGTGGCCAGTTTATTATTGTTTTTATTTCTGCCAAGTACTCAGTGTTTCTTAGGTGGCTGTACTGGGGCATGGCTGGGATACGTTCGTTTGAGTATAACTGTGGCTAAGCTGCAGAAACGTGTGTGGCGGATCCCAGGCTCCAGATGTCCAGGTAAATGGGAAGCTATTCACAAAACGCTGCGACACTGGAGTGATGAGTGGTGAAATGGGACAGAGTGTTCCCAGCGCCTGCACCGGGCTGAGTGGGGCTCCTCCAGGAAGGGGACTCAGACAAGCTCAGTGTCTTCCCACGTCTGCGAAGAACTTAAACGCTAGTGAAAATAACAGCTGGTGAGGCAGCCGGGGTCCTGGGCCAGAGCTGAGAGGGAGCTGGAAGCAGCGTTAGCCAGCATTGACCGCTCATCCCCTAGACCAGTGGTTCTCAACCTCCCGAATGCCGCGACCCTTTCATACGGCTCCTCGTGTTGTGGTGACCCCCAACCATAAAATTATTTTCGTTGCTACTTCATAACTGTAATTTTCCTACTGTGTTTTCCGAGGGTCTTAGGCGACCCCTGTGAAAGGGTTGTTTGACCCCCAAAGGGGTTGTGACCCACAGGTTGAGAACTGCTGCCCTAGACTGTGGGAATCTGGTCCTTGCCCAGACAAGCATGGCACCTGGTCCCCCAAATTGGCCTTAGGATAAGGGAGAGCGGCTGGAACTCGTACATCTGATACCCGCTTTATACCTGTTCAGGCGGAAATGTAACTTGAAGAAAAGAGGAGATGGTGATCGAAGTGTTCTTCCAGGAAAAAATTGGTTTTCTATTCATGTGTGAGGAGAGACTTGGCTTGGGAGGGGGCGTCTGACTTATGGTTAGCTGAAGATGTGTGTTTCGTAACTGGCAACCGCGTGTGCGCGAGGCGAGCAGCACCCCGCCCTTTATGATGGGCCTGGGGTGTGCATTTTGTGAGCCGTGGAGACTCGCTGGTCTGGAGGCTGACGGCTGGCTCTGCCCCCGTCCCGTGTCCGTTTCACGTTTCGGGCCCAGGGTATTTGTGAGCCTTGCCCCGCTGTCGGGATGAATGAAAAGTACCTTTGGTAGAAACGGAGGAATCAGGAAGTGTGGCCTATTTTTCAGGAAGATAATGAATTCGGTTTTAGACTTCTTGAGTTTAAAATGAGCGTTTGACGTCCGGATGGAACTGTCTTGGCTCAGCTGTGGCTGCTTAGTTGCAGCAGCACCGAGCAGGCTTGGCTTCCAGAAAGGAGACTTTCACTCGCAGGAGTTCAAGCCCTGTGACTTCCAGGAGTCTCCTTGGTTGGTCTCTAAGTCAGCAGCGCTCAGCCCCAACAAGGACAGGCTGATGTGCTGTAGACTGGGGAGTGTCCAGTGGTGCCTGTCGCTGCGTGGTGTCCCAGGGAAGAGCAGAACGGAGCCTCCACCCCCGGTGCCTGTCAGCTCCAGCATGAGCGGGGACGATTGTGGATTCTTCCCGAGTGTGGTTGGAGGGTCAGCAAGGTTTGGGTGTCTTGAACAGTCAGAATGGTCTTCTGTTGGCCGTCTCCCTGTAATTTACACCTTGTCACTTAGCAGTACCCAGAGGGCTGCTCAGGCCGCTCCAGCTTAACCTGTAGACACAAACTTTAGTGCCGGAGGGGCCTCTACCAGTGACTTACATGGAGAATGGTAGCTGCGTGGGGAGAGAGCACAGGGGTCATTTCTCTCCCACAGAGCCCCTGGCAGGGAGGCCCTTCTCCTCTGCTTGAATGCTCCCGGTGGCGGGGAGATTACCCCTTCCAGGGCTGCCCCCGTTCACTTTCTGGGATCTCTGTTAAGAAAATGTTCTTTATCCACGCCCTGTAATTGACTTCCTGTACTTCCTACGTATTCCCGAATTCAGCTCAGTGGATTATCAGTCCTCTCAGCCTCTCTCCCAGTGGGGAAGCAGAGCCTGTCAGGCGCAGGGGCTCACTCACTATAGCAGAGAGGGCCCATCTTTCTCACGCCCTTCCTCTCCCTCCTCTTACTGCCCTTTTATTCTCCTTTTCCTCCCCTTTTCCTTGGCCTGGAGCCCCCGGCCTGCCTGGCACCACTGGAAACTTCTAAGGGCGGGGGGTGGCCACCTGGGCAGAGCGGCTTTGCCCAGAGGGCTTGTTAGTCTGGGGTAAGGAGATGCTTTAATTTCCTGGGAGAATGCGGGAAGATGCTCAGTTCTGGGACACCTCGAGGTGCCACTCACCTTGACAGGAGGGCGGGTTTGAGTAGGGTCTCCGGGCTGTGCAACCCGGACAGGCGCGGGGGCCGCTTCTCAGAGGTGCAGACTGTTACACGTGTTTACTGAGGGCCTGGGTTCCCACCCATTTTCAGGGCTGTGTGAGTGGAACCCACTTAGCCTAGGAAAAGGGAAACCCTGGGATCTCTGCAGGGTCCCAGCCAGGCGTCCAGTCCCCGGGCGGCCCGGCATTCCTGGGGTGCGCGGCCCTTTCCTGTGAGAACTGGGAGTGAATCAGGCCCGGGGGCGGCGCGGAGTAGATTCCTGTCTGCAGGGAGAGGCAGGTTGGGGAGGGCAGCCCGGTTCAAATCCACAGTTCGACGGGACAGTGAAGCTCGGCGTAAGGGAAGCAAGGGATGGGACTTGAGACCATCTGGGAATTGTTCAGGCTGTGGGTGCCCTGGAGTTTCCTGACTTTCCCTCTAGAAATGTCATTATTTAAAAGATCACACTGGTCATTGGAGAACCGGGGTGGCCCTGGAAGGACATAAAGAAGGAATGATTGACGGTGATTTTCCTTCTCGTCTCCCCTCTCCCGCGAACAGGGAGAAGATGCCTTTCCACCATGTGACCGCTGGCCTGTTGTACAAGGGGAATTACCTCAACCGGTCTCTGTCCGCGGGCAGCGACAGCGAGCAGCTTGCCAACATCTCCGTGGAGGAGCTCGACGGTAAGGAGCCCGCCCTGTCTGGGAGCCGGGCCACCCCGCGAGGCCTCCGTGGCTGTTGTGCATCCAAGGGGAGAGGGCCAGGCTCTGGCCGCCGGTCACTGCCGAGCCTGACTGTGGTGTGACAGCAGAGAGTTGAGATCAATTCTGCCTGAAGGACTTCTCTGTGTGGGACAGGCCTCGGAGACTGACAGAGTCTATGGTGGATAGTTCTGTTTCCTAGGATACTGACTGGGAGGACGGCTTCGGCTCCCCAGGTGTATTTTCCAGTTTCTGGAATCTTTGTCACCAGTGGTGGGGGTGTGTTTCCCTATTGTCGTTTACAGTGGGGCCCAGCTGCGGGGGAGGGTTCAGCCTGCTAATGGCTGACTCTTGACTTGGGGCCATGTGCTTTGAATCCTGCCCAGATCAGAATCGCTGGAAGCTGTGTCGAGGTGGAAATGGACAGCAATTATTTTTATTGCCTCTTTTCCTTCATAACACGCTTCAGGCCTGGGGGTTCAGGGTATGGTTAGGGATGGGAAAAAACCTGGGAACACAGTGACTAAATTCATCCTGGGACAGTGTCCCATTGTATCCCCATTGGTAAGCCAACCCCCGATTAATAATAATAATAATAATAATAATAATAAATGAGGAAGAAGGCATTCTTTTCTTGACAAGAGAATTATGTTGATTCAGCCAGATGTTTGCTAAGGTGTCACATCTGCCTGCTGAGGCCAAACCGGGATGGTTTCCCCTAGTGTTCTGGAATGCGGGTTCCTTGTAATGCATTTTCAAACAAGATGTCTACATTTATTTTCTAAAAGAGAGAAGTCGGAATCATCCCAGATGGCTCGCATCCTTGCTTTGCAGTGCTGTGGCCCTGACCAGTGTGCCTTCCCTGTCCTCCCTCCTCGGAGGGGGGGGGGGGGCTGACTCAGTGCTGGGCCAGGGAAGCCAGTGTGCTTCCCGACAGGCAGGTGATGAGGGGAGCGAAGGAAAGGGCGCCCAATGGGGTAGCCTTTCCTGACCTTGTTCATTTGGCTGGCATGCTTACCGAAAGGCCTGCTATTTCCACGAGCGACCAGTGCGGCCGCAGGGCCGGTGGGCTAGGCCCCGAAGAGGGAGTGGGAATGAGGCGGGCAAGGCCGGGCTCCTTCGGGCCAGCAGCTGCTCAGTGTGGTCTGGACAGACTGGTGGCCAGAGAGGACAGCAGGACCGTCAGATGTACTGGCCTTCAGTTGGACAGAGAATAGTCAGATGCAGGACACAGATGCATGCAAGAGAGCCCTAACTGCCTGGGATGTGACCCGTCCTGGTGACCACAGAAGGCTGAGCTGGGCAGGCTGTGTCTGGCTGGCCAGGTGAGGCTCAGGCCTCCCCACACTCCGAGGAGCCCACTCCCAGTGGGGATTCGGGCAGGTGGTGCGTTGATTGGGCAGGTGTGCGTGGGTGTTCGTGTAGGTCTCCTGGGTTTATCGGTGAGCAGGAGCTCCCTGAGTGGGCCCTGCTGAGCAGAGGCTGAGATTACTAACCTGGTGAAGACTGAAAACTATCTGCAGCTCTCCCAGATCCCGCTTTCCACACCCCTTCCTCCTCCCTCCTGCCTCCCAACTTTGCCGCGAATAATCAAGAGATGACTTCTCCAAGACTTCCCAGAGCAACGGCTTTTTCTCTGTGAAATCTGGGCCGCCTCTGGGGTGCATGGCCTTTCAAGAGGGTGGCTGGCTAGATTTCAGCCCTTCTCCCCACTTCGGGCACCTGGCTGAAACACCCTGCTGCTCTTGGGCAAACATCAGAGCTCACCAGCTGTTTCACCCGGGACCAGGCAGCTGAGCGGGCCGAAAGGTGCCTTCTGAGCAGGTGAGAGGGGCAGGGAGTGACTCACAGCCCTCAGGCCTGGTGGGCAGGCTCAGCAGTGAAGCCCTGGGGGCGGGGCCCCGGTGGAATGAAGCAGAACTTTTCAACCTCAGAGCGCCTGTGAAGATGCTCTGTTTGTCCTTCAGGAGGGTGATCCAGGCTCCGGGCCTAAAGAGGGGCCGTTTATTTCTTGAGGGAAGATTTCTCCTACTTCTGTGTTCTTGGCCAAGGTGACCCCTGAGTTGTGACCGCTCATGCTTTCTCACAAGCATCGTGGGGCTAGGGCAGGCCCGTGCAGATGAGCAGGCGGGTGGGTCTGAACACCAGCTGGTGCGAATCAGTCCGGCATCACGGTGTGTTGGTGCTTTGGGAAGCCGAGGGGTTGCTGTCCTCTTGGGGATGCCTCCTGTCAAGCTGAGGCCTCACGTCCTGCTGTTCGGGGCTACTCATGTATCCTCAGAGGACTTGTGGTGTTGCACAGGGATTGGTGTGTTGGACACTGGTGGACACTGCAGCATCCTTGTGGCCCAGCTCCCTCCAGCACAGACTGGGTACCGCCCTCATGCGGGCTCCTCCCTGCTGCACTGCTGCCTCCTGCTTCTGGTTCACCATGGGGCCAGGGTGGCTGGTGCTCATCGCCAGGGACAGAACGCCCCTTCCCTTCAATGTCAGGGCCAGAGGTGCCCAGGCCATGGGTGGGTCCCCTCTGAGAACAGGCAGGACGAGAGTTTCTCCCCACGCTGGCTGTCTCCAGCTGCCGTTCACTCTGCGAAGTTTCTGTTTCTTCTCTTGACCCAAAGCTCAGGAGGAAATCATGCAAAGCTGCCTCAGGACTGGAGTCGGAAATAGACACACTCAGCCACGATGAATCAGCTGGGACAGTCATTCCTTCATGCATTCGTTCATTCCTGTTCATGCCTTCACTACAGAGACGTTTACCCAAATGCTGTCTGGGTGGAGGAGGGGATCAAAGAAGTATATTTGTTGTCCGTCCCCAAAGAGTCCACAGGGAGTACGTGTATATACACAACGAATGAGCAGTATCTTACACTTTCACAGGGTGTCAGGTGAAATGTTATTAGACATATGAACTACAATTTTTATAAAACACTTTCGAAGTGCTATTTATTGAATAATCTTGTGATGCCATTGTAATCTTAAACCAAATTGGCCTCTCTCCAAAGTCCTATGTGGCATTCCATTGTTTGTAACATCACTCAGTGTCTCCATCCATTGTCTTCAGGATGAATATTGGGTTTCCGGTTTGGGGCTATTAGGATCTAATCCAGCTGCCCCCTTCTGTGGCGGCTGTGATTAGGGTCTGCTCTCCACATGGCTTCCTCCTAGTGGTTGTGAAATGTCCGAGTGTAGGTATTTCACATTATCTTTGCCAGTAACAGTGTCAGCGCCCTGCACTGCTGTCGCAGGTCCTCCTTTGAGCTTAAGTTTGTTCGCTGTTACATCTTTGACGGTTGTTATTTCTGTTTGCTCTCCAGGAATGCCTCTCATTTTAATGCCGGATTTTCGTTCATTTTTCACATCGTGTCTCTTCTCACATCGTTTTTCTTTTTTTGCACTTCTGAATTCCTTCTCGAGTGTGTCTTCCACAATGCTGACTTAGTGTTCTACTGTCGCTTAAAATTTTTTAATTTTATTTTTTAAATTATTTATTGAAAAAAAACTTTTTTTTTCCCTTTATTGATTTTAGAGAGAGAGGAAGGGAGAGGGAGAGAGAGACAGAAACATTGATGAGAGAGAACATCGATTGGCCACCTCCTGCATGCCCCCCACTGGGGATCGGGCCCACAACCTGGGCATGTGCCCTGACCGGGAATCAAACCAGTGACCTCTTGGTGCACAGGTCAATGCTCAACCACTGAGCCACACCGGCCAGACCATTTAAAACTTTTAAAATTATTTATTATAAAATTTAAAATAATTTATATAATATATATAAATAGATGTATATAGAAATATATATGCATATGTCAATGTAATATATATGTATATATTATATATACATAAATTACATATATATATAGAAAGCCTTTTTTTCGAGTCTAATGCTGCCCTTATTTTATATGAGATGTTCTCATGGTTCCTTTTGCTTTTTTCTGTTCTGCTTTGTGGTTCAACCATTAGAGTTCTCTGTAGGCCCAGTGGCTGTGGACAAACAAGATTTGTAAAGAGTCTTTAGCCTTCTTTGTTCTAGCTTCACTTTATCCCAGATCTGGGATGATTTTCAGCATTTCGCTCCTGACGAGAGAGCCCAGCTTCTAGGAGACGATCACCTGTCTAGTCCACGGCTGCTGGGCGGAGGAGGGACCTTGGCTGTCCCTACGTTGGACTGGCTCCCTCCGCAGGACTACGGAACTCCACTGTTCTTCCGGCCCCGGCTCTCCTTCCCCGTCCCAGGTCACTCTGGCTCTCATCTGCCCTCCAAGTGGCCCAGGATGGCCACCCAACCCTGGCTCTTGTTCCTCTCACAGGTGTGTTTTCTAAAGGAGCTTAGAAAAGGGGCGCTGCCCAGGTGGGTTTGGGCTGGGGAGGAGGTCACCATGGAAACAGTTGCTATGAAATAGGGAGTGACCGCTTGCTTTGCTGGCCAGTGTGGCCTCTGGGTCCCTGGCAAAGGCCAACAATGGGGTGAGTCCAGTGCTCCTTCCCAGTGGGGCTCGGTGGTTCTCGGGTGGGCGGAAGCTGTGTTTGTTTCTCCAGTCTCACGAGTGTTGGAATTCGTGGAAGTTCTCCTCAGGCTCCGACACGTGGACTTGTCTCAAAGCCAGCATTTCTGGGGGTGCGCTGTATTTCGGGGGTATTTTCATTTCAGTTTGGGGGTGCGTGGGTCAGTCTGCCACCCTGCCCTCGCGAAGCCCCACGTCAGCAGTGGGCTGACCTCACTGGGACTGTCGCAGAGACACTGCTGCCCACGCCGCTTTGCACAGCCCCGGCAGCGTTTGTCACCATGTCACTCGCTGGCTCTCCTCCTGCCTCTTCTCTGCCTCTTTGTCATTCTCGCTGCTCCTTGTGTGCCCCTTACCTCTGCCCACTCCCCTGCCCCCTCCTTCCGCACTGCCGTCTCCCGGGGTTGGTGTCTGTCCTCCCCGGGCGTCTACATCTTCACTTCCTGCCTCCCTCCTGAACTTTGTTTTATTTTTATT